TGCACCCAAATGCAAAGGTACCTGGCACGGGATGTATGCTAAAAAGAATGTGTTATATGAATAAGTGAAAGAATAAATTAATGAACGAGAGAAAGAGCATCCTTATCAGAGCAAACCAAATGTTCAAAACACAGAGGTGGGGGAAAACCAGGACACAATCAGGAAACAAAAAGTAGTTTAAAATATCTGCATTGGCAAGGCCCCCACTAACCCATCTGGCTTCTTCATGCAAGTGAGCAAAAAGTGCCTTTCCTTCTTGGTGTGGGTCCCCTTGCCAGGGCTCATGGGTGGCTGTGTTTCTGCCCCTACACCCCTCCTGGCCAGATGCACTTGTGCAGGGCACCACCTGCACATCCAGATGTCATAGCCCCGCTGCGTTGGGGAGTGGCGAGGGAGGTAAGTGGGGGCTAGCTTGTGCTAAACCCGGAACTTCATTATTTCTTTCCCAGATCACCGCACCAGCCTCTTGACGGTCATCCATCTCTGTGTTCAAGCTCTCTTTCAATTCACCCTATTACCGGAGCAAGAATGATCTTTGTAAAATGTAAATCTTGTGTTGCCCATCCGTGTAAGATTCTCTACAGTGTTTCCTAGCCCAGCAGGGGGCCCTATAAAAACTGCCAGCAATACCCTCAGGGTTTAGTCCTTGGGACCCCTTCTCTACTGCAGCCAAAGAGAGGCTGTTCTGTACAGTGGTTAAGAGGGGGGACTTGGAAGCCTGACCTTCTGGAACCTTCTGGTTCTGCCCCTTGCTAACTACACGATCCCAGGAAAGTTGCTTAACCTCTCTGATTCCTTTCGACAAATTGGAGATATTAATTATAGCTACTGCAGAGAGTTGTTGAGGGGATTCAAGGAGGTAATTAATATAAAGTATTCTAAACAGTGCCTGGCACATAAAGTCGTAATTAAACTCAATAAACATTAGCTATTATAACTACTAATAGTAGAGCTGAGATGGGCGCACAGGAGGCTCGACACTACGTCATCCTATTATTTCAGAGCTCGCACAACATGCTATCAGAACAAAGCAGGGGAGTGATTAATTTTTCCTGAGGAATCAGGAAAGGGCATAACAGAAAAACTCATACTGGAGCTGGACTTTGGAAGATGAGTTGGAGTTTTCTAGGACAAGTCATGCAGGGCAGAGGGACTGCATGACAAAGGAGGTAAGGGGCAAAAGTGCATGGTACGTTCCCATAAAATAGGGATACTATTTGCTCATTTGCAAATATTGACCCTACATATTTAATCTCCCTTTATAAATCATGTTTCATTTCAGCCTCTCAGCTCGAAGGCAGAGAGCTCTGAGGTTAATTGCGCAGAGACAGGAGTGAAATCTGCATCTGACCACTGACGCAGAGGCGGCCCAGCCCCGCTCATATCACCCAGGCCAGCACCAGCGCTGTTTGCTGGGTGACTTTCTGCAGAAAGCCCTACGGCTCTGTGCTGAGAGCTTTCTCTGGTTGCAGAAAAATGCTTTGCTGCCTGCATAGAGCAGGCTGGAAGTGGCGGGGGGTGGGGGGGGTAGTTAAGAGCTTGGGAACAGCGCTCAACCAACAACAAACAAGAGTTGGTGAAAGAGCTAGGAGGCTTGTTGTGAACCATTTCCAGAGCTTCTCGGGGGCTTGAGCCCCAGTTGCCCACAGCGTTAACCTGCCCACGAATAAATAGCTGCCTTCCCTGTGAGGAAATGCTGTCTCATTTCCTCACGTTCCTGCTAGGATCCTGGGATCACCTGACAAATAAGCTACTTGCACCTGCTTTTACGTGCTACTTCTGGGAAACCAAACTCAGTCTTTTGAGACTCAAAAGTCCTTGTGACCAAGCTTAATTTTGCTACTACTTGCTTTGTGAGCACCCCCTGCCCCCACCATACCTCAGTTTCTTCATCCTTAATAAGAGTGGGGGGGGGGGCTGCAGAGATTTGAATTAGCTGAGATGAAATCAGGAGTCCTCTAATGCTAACACGGCATGCTTCTGACTCGAGCCCAGCTCTGTCCGGGGGCGGGGCGGGGGGGCAGTGGAGGAGGGGTACAGGGAAAGCTGCACACTGGTACACTGGAGCGGAAACAGCACAAAGAGAGAAACACTGAAAAGTAGTTTTTGGGGAATTGAAATGGATTTGCCATGAGCAATAACGACATGAATTTGCTGCTTTGGACTATAAAAGGGTGATGTTTAAAAACAAATCGTACTCTTAAAAATACCATGAAGAAACATTTTTAAAAGTGATTTGTAATTGAGCTTGGACCACAAAAGCACTCAATTTAATATGTGAGGTTCATGACTATGTCCCTGAGTGTGAGAGTTCACATCAGTTAGAAGGCAGTGGAAACTGCTGGGAGCCCAGGCAAAACAGGGTCAGTTTTCCATTAAACTACAACTAGTGTCTCTCTCGACTTCCAGCACTAAGTAAGATGGCTGTAATTTCTTCTTTTCTCCAGGGTGAAAAGTTGGGAGAACTTTAAAGGTTATATATAAATATAAATCCTGGAGACTTAAATTGAGCTAGTAACAGTTTACTTTCATATTTAAAAACCAAATCTCAGCTTTAGCTCAGACTCACAAAGTAGAAATGTCAGATTTGTTACTGTGGTCTTACATAAAATCCACAACTTTCACTTAAAGAGGAAAGAAAACCCCCACCATTTTACCTTATCCCCTGAATAGAATACAAAAGCCTGATCCGGCTCTCTGAGTGGTTTGTATATAAATTTTAGAATGATGTCCCTTCAGAAAAAGAAGGATCCTCAGGCATCAGCTAGCTCAGCCCTCCTTTGCCTTTGCCCCTCAGGCCAGGTCATACTTTCTCTGATCAGCCTTTTCTATGAGTAAGGCTCACCAGCCTCTGCTTGTATGCCTCCAGTGACGGGGAACTGCCTACCTCTGAGCCAGAAGCCACCATTGGACTACACGGACAATTAGAAAGTTCTTTCTTTTACTGCCTAAGCTCTGCATCCCTGCATTTCCAACCACGTACACAAACAAACCCAACACTGAAAATAACTCAAATGAATCATTTACTCCAAAATTACATCCTCACTGTTGGTGATTTATTCTTAAAAGAATAATTCACAAAACTGGGAACTCCCTGTAGAAGGGCAGAATAATCTGGAAGGAGAAGTACATGAAGACTAAAGGAACCGGCCATTTTAGACCACTCACCATTGTTTTATAAAGACAATTCCACATCAATCACTTCGTGTAGCTCTCAGTACCACTCTAGGATGTTGAATTATTTACAAATGAAGAAGCAAACTCAGAGGGAGAGTGAGGTGCCCCAGCCCCGTCACTCAGTAGTGGCAGTGGTCTTCGAGCCCAGAGATGGGACTCTGCTGCATCACCCCACCACCCTGCTCACATATGCAGCATTCTTTGTGGATGGTACTAGCTTCCAGGCACACGGAACAGATGTGCAAAGAATTGACAGTCCAAGCAGAGGTCAATCTAACAAAAAAGGCAGGCAAGTATGTTATTGCAGTACATTGCAGTAAGGACTGAAAGTAGAGGTAGGAACAGAATACTTTGGGGAAATAGAGAAAAGAGAAACAAACTACCTGGCAGAGTTGGGGAGGTATGTTCACAGATGTGACATTTAATTTGGATTTTGAATGGTGAGTAGAGATTTCTGTGCAGAAAAAATGGAATGTATTATATTCCAGGCAGAAGAAACAGCACAAAACAAGACAAGTTGGTGCTAGGGCACAGCACGTTTGGGGTAGAGTGAGGTGCTTGGTGTGGCTGGAGCATCAGATGTGAAGGAGTATAAAGCAGACCAGCTTGGAGAAACAGGCAATGCTAAGGCCACGGAATACCACTAGAAATTGAGCGCCATGATGTAGCCGAGAATGGGATAGGGCCAGGGAGGGTGAGGAAAGGGCAACGGATATATCCAAGGAGGATCTTACTGTTTGTTCCGGAAGAAAGAGAAGAAATTAAAGGATCAGAGGCTGTTAAGGGATGGCTGTTTATGGGATTGTTGCAGTATCAATGCAAGAAAGGAAAGAAATAAGGAAGAGTCCCCAGCAGATGAATGGATAAACAAAAATGTCTATACACACAATGGAAACCTTTGTAGGTTTCCTGTAAAAAGAGTAGGTTTCCTGTAAAAAGAGTAACCTTTTTAACATAAAAAGGTATGAGATTCTGATATATACTACAACATGGATGGACCTTGAAAACATTATGCTTAGTGAGATAAGCCAGTCACACAAGGACAAATGTATGATTTCACGTATATGAGATGCCTAGAACACGCAGATTCGCAGAGACACAAAGTAGACTAGAGGTTCCCAGGGGGTGGGGAGAGGGGGAAGGAAAGAATATTGTTTAATGGGTATGGAGTTTATGTTGAGGACGATGAAAAAGTTTGGGGTAGAGATGGTGGGGAAGGGTACCCAGCATCGCGAATATACTTAATGTCACTGAATTTTACAGTTACAAATGGCTAAAATTATATTGTTGTACATATTTACACAATAAAAATAAGGATTGGTGGATGGATGGATGGATGGATGGATATATGCTAAAGCAAATACAGTAAAGTGATGAGTTCAGATTTGAGCATACTGTTGCTGAGGTACCTGTGAGATATCCCGTTGGAATTGCCTGAGAGCTATTTGTGTCTGCGGGTCTGGAGCCTGCGGAAGATCAGTGCTGTGAGCTGTAAAACGTCCTTATAATTCCTGCTTGGGGGAAACACAGCCGGCCTCACGGAGCTAGTACTGGATCTATGCTTTTGTGTTGGGGGGTGGGGGAGGGTGCTGCCCAGTGGTTAAGTAGTTTTTGGGTAGTGAGTCACTTGAGACTTTACTTTGTTGGGGTAAACTGGGAAAGGGAGAAGTTGGAGCTTCTCTCTGTCCAGTGAGGCTTCTGGAACTGGTTTGGATCGCGTATGTGACAACCGAATTTGGAGGTGGGGAGAGGCGAGGACAGGAAGGACATGCCCCAGCTGCTGGCAGTTCTGTTGGGAGGCAGGCAGCCTTCAACCTGCAGCCTCACCAGGGACTGGCCCAGCAGGCAGAGCCACCTTGTCCGAGGTCCAACCCTTCCCGGGGCAGCCCACATCCAATGACTAATAGGTATAAAGGCACAGTCATTTTGGCCTAATGTGAGACCTGATGGGTCATGTTAGCTCAACAGCCCCCTGGGGTTGGCCAAGGCTGCTACTAGGCCCACATCGCAGCTCAGCCTCTCCCTAGCCCAATCCTGTGTCCTTCCTTCCACTGGTGTGGACCCAGGGCACTCCCTATTAAACATCTTGCACTCTGAATGCCAGGCTCAGAGTCTGATTCCAACCTGTGACTAATCAAGCTCCTTTTTCTTTTCTTTTTTTAAGATTTATTTAGTTTAAAGAGAGAGAACAAGAGAGAGAAAGTGAGTGGGGGGAGGGGCAGAGGGAGAGAATCTTCAAGCAGATTTCCCACTGAGCACAGAGCCCAGTGCAGGGCGGGCTTGTTCTCACAACCCTGGGATTAGGACCTGAGCCGAAACCAAGCGTCGGATGCTTAAGTGACTGAGCCCCCCAGGCGCCCCTGACCAAGCTCCTTTGACTTTACCTAGTCGTGGTCCTTGCTATAATCACAAACTCTGCTGATTCCACCTCTGAAGACAGACCCTAACCTCTGCCTTCTCTATGTAGACTGGTGAGTAGCTAAGGGCTGTGTTCTGTTTTACAAGACAGACTGTTAACAGGCTTCAATTAATCCAGTTGGACAAGTAACAAAAAGACTCTCATGTGTTCAGCAAATAGTTCCATCCTAGCTGCCCCAAACACCCCCACAGCAAAAGCCATTAAACCTTGTGTGTTTTATTTTCTCTTTCCAGCAACCCTGAAGTGTTTGCTGACATTTGAAGTCTGGTAATAATCATTGTCCCCTAGCCATGTTTCTGAATCTTCAGGCAAATTCATGGCTGTCCCATTTTCTGAGTCGGATGTTCTACTCAACTAATCCATTCTAAACAGCCTTGCTCCTGGATATAAAAGGAAATGATAAAAACAAACATCTTTAAATCTCAGGGTCCAAAATTACACTAGAAAAAGTTCCCAAAGGAAACACTGGATGGTCACAGAAGACAGGTTTTTATTAATAAAAATAAATATATTTTGACACTTCTATACATTCGCATGAATCAAATGAACCAAGACTGGGGACAAAAGATTGATCATTCAAAGCCTCTTAGAGGGATTTAATTTTTTGTTTTGTTTTGCTCTTGGTCGAAGCCCAGAATATTACGCAAAGTGCATCTTGCATTGTACTCAAATAAATCTCAGAATACATAGCTGACTTAACAAGGATAGGGATGCGTAAACCTTTATAAATAAAAAAGACTTCAAAGAGATTCATTCCTTAACATTGCAGCAGCCTGCTTAACAATAGCGAAAGTTTGCTGAGCACATAGTGCCAGCCGCTAGGCTAAGTATTTATATGTATTACCTTGTTGAATCCTCCCAACCCACCTGAGATAGGTAGGAACTCGGTGTGCAAGCAATGTGAAGGATGCCTCCCTCCTACAGTTGGGCAACATGCAACCCTGGGCCAGGCATTACTTTCTTTTTTTCAGATGAGAAAATGGAGGCAAAAAAAATGATTTGTCCCCTTGCCACCAACTCACACTATCGGTGCGTGATTCCGAGAGGGCCGGAAGCAGGCTGACTTGACTAAGCCAGGGCTCTTACCATGCTACCCTGCACTTTCTCCTCTGCTCGAAGGCACAGAGCTCACTGCCACAGGCTAGGTAGGCCAGGCAGTGTCATCTCTTTTATGATGTCCTCCTTGTCCTTAGCTGTTCTCGCTGCCTGTACAATCCTGCTGCACATCTCTGCCCGCTCAAAACCCATGCATCCTTTAAGGCCCAGCTCAAATGTCAAAATTTTCCCTGGACCATTTCTTCTTGTAGCAGAATTAACCAGATTCTCCCTTTGTCTTCACAGTAGTCTGTACCTAGACTTTTTTTTTTATTAAAACACAATATTTTATAAATATTCTCTGCTGTGTGGATTTTCTGATGAAAGTGAGAAGTCTACATTCTGAAGAACACTTATCACACTCATCATGTGTATTGGATTTATCACCAGTATGGACTCTCTGATGAACTTGCAAACGTGAACTTTTACTAAAGCCCTTACCACAGTCAAAACATTTGTAGGGTTTATCTCCCGTATGGACTCTCCAATGGGCTTGAAGATGTGAGGTCTGATTGAAGCTCTTACCACACATGCCACATTTATAGGGTTTCTCTCCTGTGTGGATCCTCTGATGAACATGAAGATATGAGTTCCAGATGAAGCCTTTCCCACATTCTTCACATTTGTAGGGTTTCTCCCCAGTATGGACTCTCTGATGGGCTTGAAGATGGGAGCTCCAACTGAAACCCTTCCCACACATATCACACTTGTAGGGTTTCTTTCCAGTGTGGACTCTCTGATGGTCTTGAAGATGTGAACTCTGACAAAAGCCCTTACCACATGTCTCACATTTGTATGGCTTCTCTCCTGTGTGGACTCTCTGATGGACCTGAAGATGTGAAACCTGAGTGAAGCCCTTACCACATGTCTCACATTTGTATGGTTTTTCTCCTGTGTGGACTCGCTGATGGACCTGAAGATGTGAAACCTGAGTGAAGTACTTACCACATGTGGCACACTTGTATGGTTTTTCTCCTGTGTGGACTCGCTGATGGGCCTGAAGATGGGAATTCCAGCTGAAGTTCTTATCACACACATCACATTTATATGGCTTCTCTCCAGGGTGGATTCTCCGATGGGCTTGAAGATTTGAGGCCTTACTGAAGTCCTTCCCACATACCTCACATTTATATGGTTTCTCTCCAGGGTGAACTCTCTGATGAGGACCAGGATTCTGATTAACTAGCCTGTCACATGCCTCCCATTTGTAGGTTTTATCTCTAGGGTGGGCTCTCTGATGGGCTTGAAGTTGTGATGTCTGATTGAAGCCTTTATCACACATCTCACATTTAGAGGATTTCTCTCCAGTGTCGTCTATACTGTATTTTGTTTTTCCACGATAGAAGAGTAACAGCATTCAAAATGTTAATGAATGCACCTCTGGTATTCCTAACAGTGGGTTGGGGACAGGTATTTCTCTTCGTCCTGGAGACAGGAAAGAAGCATTTTCTCTTGCCCTTTTACTTGCCCTCCAGCCCCCATTTCTCTCTCTCTCTCTCTTTTTTTTTTTTTAATTTTCCTCTTCCTTCAGCCTCCAGAGTTCACAACTGGATTTGTTTATACTTCCTATCACATTTTCCACATTGAAGTCTAACCCACCTTGTTGTGTCGTTCTCCTTAGGACACGAAGTTCCTCAAAAGCAGGGATGGACCTTCATTGCTCTCTGTATCCTCTTTCCTCAGCATCTAGTACTGGGCCCAGCACACAAGTGTTCAATAGAGTTCACGAAATGCTCCTGTGTGCTTGATGCATATTTCTCTGTGTCTTAGTTCAGCAACAGCAAAGCACTGATCAAATATACAAATCTATAGGACATAATTCAGAATGTTAGGTTCAACTGTTACTGATGGAATAAAGAATTTATTAGCCCATTTCAAAATGGCAGCACAGAACATACAAAACCCTGTATGTTAACTCTTTCATTTGTGCTATGATTGAAGAAAGGTTTCCATTTCAGAGGGAAACCACCATGTGCTTAAATTAAATGTGCCATAATGTCCGTCTTGGGCTAATGCTAAGTCTTGCATTATAAGTTGTGCAAGATGATAGTTAAAGATATGCATTCTAATCAATGGAGGTGAAGGTGTATGATATACTAAGTTATCATATAAAGGACTCAGGGTAGTCTAAATGCACCTGTGCTTCTCTCATGTTAAAATTTATATCAAATTAGAACATTAGGCCAAAGTAATTTTATCTCCTAATTTGGGGAGACAGACTCACATTTACACTGACCGCTAAACTCTTTGGACACAGCAAGTTCATCAATGAAAACATACTAGTCAGAGCTGATGACATAACATCAATACTTAAGAGGTGGCTAACAGGACATTTTTGTTCTTGTTTTACGCAATCATTTCACATTGGTGACCGGGTCTCCAAGCCTACTCTATGTCAGAAACAGAAAATTTGAAGAGGAAAAAGAAATTCTGAAATAATGAGAAGTGCCAATTTTCAGCAAGGACAGGACAGACACCAAAGCAGCATCAATGCTAAAAATAAAACAAAATGAAGAGCCGTAATCATGTGGAGGCAGTCACTGCAGGCCACAAAGGCTCCCCACCACCTCAATAGCCCGGCGTCAGTGTGGGCTGATATAATACCTGCTGTTCATATTGGTGAGCCAGAATCATCATGAATGCATTAGAATATACTATCTTCTAGTTCAAGGAAGTTAGGAAATATGTGATAAATTTAGATACTGCAGTCAATAGTTAAAAGAACAAATATTTCAGTGGAAGTATAATAGAACTATTAGAGAAATTCAAATATTCACAACTCATTAGGGTTCAAATAGCTGAGGTTTAGAGAATGTAAAGCCCATCTGACATAATTTTCTTTTAAAGGCAAACTTTCTAATACCATCAGATGTCACTGCTTTTTCTAATTCAGATTTAACTTAAACATCACTACTTTTTAAATTAGTTCATCTCAATATACTTAACTCGAAGTACAACACAATTTATCTCAAAAATCATTTACATGGAGGGGCACCTGGGTGGCTCAGTCAGTTGTGATTTCGGCTCAGGTCATGATCTCAGCATCATGAGATTGAGCCCCATGTCAGGCTCTGCACTGGGCGTGGAGTCTGCTTAAGATTCTCTCTCTCTCCATCGCTCTCTCCTGCTCCTCTTCCCCCGCTGCCGCCACCTTAAAAATCATTTACATGGTGTGGACAATCCTGCAAAGAGACTTTCAGATGAGAGCAGGATGGTGTGTTGCTGAAAATAAAAGGGATAAACTGATTTTTATGCTTTCTTCCCTTTCCAGTCTTCACATTTGGTTTAATAATCAATATAAAGAATCGCAATTTATATAATGTGTGTCTTTGCCAAGTAGCATCAATCATACCTTAATTGTAATTATTCACATCTGGCAAGACTTCAGGTCTAACTGGACACATTTTCTCTTCATATCTTACAAACATTAGGAACTTAAGAAAGGCTACATCCTTTATACTCATGTATAACCTAACAAGCCAGAGAATCATTCAGTGTTTCCAGTTTGCTATTTTACCTTCTGACAAGTTTTATAAAAGCGAAGGGAATGAAATGAACTTGCATTACATACAAGATGTTGCCTACACAAATGCGAGAAAGGAAGCAAAACGAACAGCCAGGACATATGGTAGTGAGCTGACAGCATAAAGAAGCTAGTTCCACATGAGCGACGAGGAACATCTTGAAATGTACAAGACATATGTGTTTTAGGAAGAAGACTGAAGTGTTTCATAATAAAACAGGACAAAGTGAACCATGAGTGCCGAATAAAGTTTTAATTAAAAATGGATTTTTAGCCTTCAGTGTGAATATACAATATGCTTCACAGATGGATTTTCTATTTAAGCCTTACCCAAACCAAAAAGTAAGTGAGACAAATAAAGCTTCTGAAAATGGCACAGAGGCTAAAATGTATGTAAATAATAGAGTGTTCTGGTACAAACAAACAAGGAGGGAAGAACAACCCTTCTGTCATCTATTTTCTGCTTGCACATTGCGTAAGTAGACCATATAACCTGCCTTTGGTGCAAACACGTTTCTCCTCACTTTAAATGTATAACAGACACATACCACTGAGAAATAACCTACACATCCAACCATAAAGGAATGGTCAAATTGCTTCAGAGTATATCAATGCAATGTTAGATAACCATTAAAAATACAATTATGCATCGTTTTAGAAAAAATAAAGTGTACGTATTAACATTGAAGTAGTAAGATACAATATTTGTAAAAAACTAACAACTTTGTAGAAATTGCATAGAATACCACAATAGAACATACAAAAATATTACCAAGTTATCTCAAATTTTTACTTTTATGGGAGCACATACTTCTATAAATCTTCTAATTTTTATGCAGTACTGCTTCTTTAAAATCAGGAAATAATGTTTGAGAAGTCTAGTTTAAGCTGAAATATCTACCTAGAAAATGTTCTAAGTTTATCAGAAAACGTTTTTATATTAATCTCTGATGCCTGAACAATGGTGGCCCTTACCGGCATAGTTTCATTCTTGTCTGAGGCAAGGAGGAATTATTCCTAAAGTTCACTGGCTATGGGCAAACAATGAACCACACACAGGCATCGAACAGATTGAAGATGTGACAATTATGCTTTCTGTGTACACAGGGTCAATGGTTAGACTTTCCTATTTTTTCCTTGAAAAAAAAAAAGCCTAAATTAAACAAAAGGCTATCTAACTCTCTTTCTAATGCATTTAAACAGCATGAGTTTAAGCTGAAAAATCTCTGGCAATGACTTTAGTGTTTGAAAGTGTCTTGATGCTAGAAAATGCTCTTCTATTACAAAATATTTATTTTTTAAAGTTCAGCTGAAGAGTTTTATGTGAGATCTTTAAGATGGACCAAAAGTAAATTCAGCAATAGCCTTTCTTACTAGGTTTCCTGAAGACTTCGTTTCATGTAGAAGACACATTTATTTATTGCCAATATTTACTGATGTTCTCCCTGCACAAACTCTAGCTCCAGGCAAGTGACCAAATGCTGCCCCCAAACACAGTATTTAACCCTCATTTCCACACCTTCCTGCTGCTGCTCAGTATTTTCCCACTTACAGACTTTTCTCCTTTCTTACCTCCTCCAACCCGACCCAACCATCAGCCTGAATTCACATCCCTCCTCTGTATTCATGAAACCTTTTCAGATCAAGGGCACCGATTCCTCCATCTTATGAACTCTTACTATTCGCGGACTCTTCAGCAATTACAGATTCCTTTGTGATATCTCTTATTGTGATCTTTACAAATATTTATGCCATCTGCTAAAGTAGACTGAAAATTCAGTGGGAACGTTTGACAATTATTTTTTTTTTGTCATCTATAGTGTTTACCGTGCAAGTGCAATAAATAAGCTGAAAGATGAAACACAGTCAGAAAAACAAGACTACAAAACCCCGACTCTTGTCTTGTCTGACTTACAGCCTTTGGGATGTCAGTTATATCTGCTTAATGATACTAGGAGAAGGAAATGGCATTATTTAAGCACCTAACGATCTTTTTTGGTACGAGGACTCAATTCACAATCTCTAGTAAAGCATAGGAAGAAGGGCCTTGATGTGATTTCCATATACATCTCATCCTCCTCTTGGGCCCCAATTTTACCATGGACCCTTATATGCTCACCATACTAAACTTCCTGCAGGTTCCGGAATATGCTGTGTTTTTTCATGCCCCTGCAAGTTCTGATGCCCTGCCTCTCCTCTTCTGATAAAATCATCCATTAAATGACTGAGATAAAAGGGTATTCTTTTGCAATGTCTTCCTTTACTCATTGTTTCCTCTTTCATGCTCCTAAAGCATCCACCCAAACATCTCTTTCATCCATTTATATTGTGTATTTCCACTACACTTAACATTTTAGAACATGCTGTGTTTATAATGTGTTTGTGAGAGGTCAAGATGTATCTTAACTTATATTTGTCCAATGTCACTCACAATAACTAGTTCACAGTAGGTATCCAATGCTTTTGCTAATGCATACATAGATAAATGAATGACCTTGCTAACTCTTTAGATGAAGGGAGAAAAAAACCTGGTATTTAAAAGTTAGCCATGGATAACCCAAAAAGTATATATCATTCATATGGGAATCGAGAGCCAGCCTTTTTCCTTCTTGGAGCTCAAAACATTTTGTG